CCATCAGCCGTGGGAAGCTTTTGACTGGCAGGAACAGGGCTGCTGCAAGGAACTCCAGGGACCTGAGGAGCAAGGGGCACGAAGAGTATAGGGAAGTTTGGAGGGAAGAGGCCCAGAGGGAAAGTGCCCTGCGTGGAGAGCACCCTCAGACAGGCCCCCTCCAGCTCACACACAGACAGACACAAACACACCCAGCCCACTGCAAAACAGCCCACCCCGCCCGCCGTGACCTCCCATGGTGGTTCACCTGGCCCAGCACCAGACCCCCAGGGACCACCCCTGATCACCGTGTGGGCTTGCGGCAGGCTGCTCTCTTCTGCCTCCGAAGGGCCCCACCCACCTAGCAGGGCCGGTAGGACTAGGGTCCTGGCAGCCACCCAGCTGGGGCCATCTGGGCAACACTCAGACAAGCACCCTGGCTAGAAACTGCCTGAAATCTCTATGGGCAGGAGGCAGACGTCCTGGAGCAGTATGCCCCGTCCAGCCACGCTTCAGCTGTCCCAAGGAACATCAGACAGATCATGGGGAGACAACAGAGAATCCCCAAGTCCCAGCCAACCTCTGCCACTACTAAATGTTGGAGTTGATAACTGGGAGCTACCGGAGCAGCTTTCGGGCCTCCTTCTCTGGCTCCCTTCCCGGTCCTCACCCTCAGCCTCAAGATGGAGAAGGGAGGCCGGGGCGATCTACTTGCTGGACAGGTGGGAATCATCCTTCCGCTTTCCAGTTCTCCTAAGTTCTCTTCTTCAGAGGAGACCTGGTAGCCCCTCACCACCCTGGGACTGCCCCAGCCTCCCTGCTGTCTCACGCCAACCACAGGCCAAGAGTCACCTCCTCAGGCCTCTGTCGCCTCTGGAGCCTGCAGGATCAGCCACTCAGCAAATATTCTCCAGGAGTAATCGGATGTGATGGAACGAGGGCTTTTCAGCTCCTGAGTGAAAGTCTCTGGATGTCATTTAATGGCACAAAAAATAAAAGGCTCGGGCCTCCCGCCCACCACCACCAGGACATCATTAATCTCAGGAGAAAGGCATCAGCGCTTCTATCACCGCGCAGCCAGCTCCAGACGAGCCAGACAAATTACAGACCTGAGCCGGGCCCTGTGTGGGGCGGTTATTAGGTTGGAGTTGAATTCTTGTTGTTTTCTTCAGGGCCACCGTCCCCCGACAAGAAGCAGTGCCCTGCCAAGTAGGAGAGTAGAGCAGGGAAGAGGGAGGCTGCCGTGGTTAGACAGGAGTCACCTGCCCAGGGGGACAGGGCAGCTTGGGGACAGGTGCCCAGGTCCCTCCAGAGCAGGAAGCCAAGCTCAAGGGCTCAAAACCTTGCCTCTTTGTTCTCCATCCCACCCTTGTCTTCCCAGTCCCCAGTCCCAGTCCCCAGGCTGACAGGGAAACACTTCAGAGGACAAGTGACAAGTCCGGTGGGGAATGTCCTTGGCAAGTCAGGGGTCAGGAAGCACTGTCCTTTGCTGGTGAAAAGCCTAGGAGTTGGCCCACGGAAGGGCTTGTGAGCATCTGTCAAGGGCCCCAGCTGTTGGCCAAGGCCTCCCTTCCAAGGACTAGTTTTTATTTGTCCTCTGTGGATTGTGTTGTTAGAAAGTCACTAAGGGCAGGAGTGACCGGGTAAAGCACCTCATCCCACTTGCCTGACAGAGGCCCAGGGATGGCTGCCAGTGTTAGCTAAGGGACCCTGCATCCCAGGCCCCCTCAACTGAGCATGTGCATTCTAGCAGAGGAGCTGTCTCCGCATTCTCCTGGGCCTGGGGGAATCAGGACAATACAAGGGGGCACCACAGTCTCTTGGAGGCCCATTTGGCCCTCACAGGCCCCAGGGAGCCAGCTAGGGGGATCGTGTGATAAGCCAAATTGTGCAGAGCCAGCCCCTCAGATTCAGGACCTGGAAGTGGAAAGAGTGACTGCCAAGACATCCTCCAGAGTCGTTTCCAAACATCCAGCCCTGGCTGTCCCTAGGACTGAGGCTCAGAGAACGAGGCCACCCCCACTGCTAGAGACAGGGGTCCTTCCTTCCACCTGGTGTCGGACGGGAGGTCAGGCACAGAATGTTGGCTCAGAAACACCCAAGCTTTAAATGAGCTGTCCCCCAACCCCCTCCTGCCCAAACATCTCCAGCATCCAACAGCCCTCACCTAAGAAGGTCTCCAGTGGCACTGACCAGCAAGGGAGGGAACGGCCTCGAGGCAGGGTGTGCAGCTGGTTCTGCAGAAATGGGTCCTGCAGGGACCAACCTACACATCAGGCGGCAGCCCTGACCCGAGGAGCCCAGGACATTGTGTCACTGCCACTGTACAGCTCAAGAGACAGACTGGCAGGCTGCCTTCCCCTAGAGGCCTCTGGAGTGCACTCACCGCCCCTGCCCTGTCCCAGGTAGAGTCCAGCCTGGCTGCAAGTTCACTGGCCCTGGCACAGACACAGCCCTCTTCCTGCGTGGCAGCAGCTTCCCTGCAGCTCAGGGACAGAGCAGTGCCATACAGGAAGGGGCTTTCCTCTGAGCTGCGACCACAGAAGCCACAGCTCCCCATCTCTCCCCATACACCCCTGAGGGCCTGACTCACCCCTCTTCCTTCTAGAACTTGCTCAGGGTCAGTTCCTCTCGCCCTCTGTGGCAGGAAACAGGGTGGTGGGGGGTGTTTAAGGAGTCCTGGGTGAGCCAGGGGAGGAAGTGGCCCGAGGCTAGCCAGCACAGGGCCTGGGTGCCACAGCTGCCCAAGGAGCCCGAGAACCACAGGGTTGTCGGAAATGGGGCTGGGAACAATCCTGAGGCACCAGGGACAACTCTGAGCTCAGACAGAAGGCAGCTTCTGAGCGGGCAGGCCTGTGCTCCTGTGTGAGGGGAGCCTGGTCTCGCTCAGGGTATAGGGGATTTCTTTCCATCATCTTGCCCTGATCTCGTGATTGGTTTCAATTCCCTCCTTGCCACCCAGGTTTCTTCCTGTCCCACTCAATGGGGAAGGCCCCTTGTCCCCTTGTGTTTGCCACACATCAATTTACCCATGAGCCTTTTCCGTGGCATGCACGTGAACACACACAAACATGCACTGGTGTGCACACGCATGCACACGTGCCAAAGTTTCCCAGGTTCGTAGACCAGAATTTCTCTACAGCCATCACGATCCCTGTGGTGCAGAGGCTCCAACCAGACACAGTGCCTCCGAAAGGGCTCTGGAGTGACACAAAGCCACACCGTGGAAGCACCAGGGCAGTCAGCACCCATCCAACAAGCTGGACTCTCCCTGCCCTTTCCCTGAGACACCCCTGCAAGCCCTCATTCTGCAGCTCTCAAGGTCAATCCAAGTACACGGTCACTGAGTCAGATGGGATTGAGAGAACCTGGAAAGACCTTGACCTCATCCCTGCCTCCCAAGAAGTTTTCTCCCGAGTAGTGCACTGGGTCCCATCGTCCCATCGGTGAGCCAGGGATATACCCAGTCCCCCATAATATGACCCTTAATGTGTATAGTGCTCCTGGGAGAGCACCTGGCACATAGAAGGCACTGCAGAGGTGTCCTATTGCTGCTGTTATTATTATTTGCTTTATTACTATTATTGTGTTTTGGATTGGGGATCAAAAATTGTCCTTTGCTTGAGAATATCTTTGAAACACCTGGAGGGAGAGGGTAAATGGAGAAGAGGAACATTTGGGCGAACTCATTTTCTTCTTGTTATGAAAAGAGCAATGGGTACACACAGGAGCCAACAGGTGTGGCACTGGTGACCTGTGGCTCTCAAGTGAGCCTTTAAGAATTCCAGGCTGCCAGCCCTTAACCCTCCTCTGTCTGGAGATGATGGGTTTTGACCACACCATGGCAAATCTGCCACTTGCTAACTTGCTCTGAACAAGGCCTTTCCTGAGTGTTCTCTCCATCCAGAGAAGGCGGCTAGATTTAGACCCCAAAGGGGGAAAAAAAAAATGCAGGATGCGATTCAATTTCAATTAAATTTGAAATCTGGTTAAACAATGAAAAAGTTTTTAGTCTAAGTATGTTCTGTGTAATAAGTGGAACACATAACAAATTATTTGTTGTTTATCTGAAATCCAAACTGGGCTTCCTGTATTTTTCTGGCAACCATCTGCCCAGGGTGCCGGAGGCTCAGGCTTTGGGAAACAAGAGCGTGGGAATGTGCCTCTGACCACTTCCCTCACCTCTCCCTGGTGCTGGTGCCCCAGGAAGTGCCCTCCTTACCCTGCCAGGAGGCCTGTTCACACTCACCCCAGAAGATGTGACCCCTGGTGTGTCGTCTCCCCCTGAGGAGAGCCCCCTTCAAATTGGGCGGCTTGAGTGTCTCCAGGCCCAGCCTAGGAACATTTCTCCCACTCATTCCCCCCCGCAGAATCCAAATGCCATCGCTGCACCTCCACACAGGGCGAGCCCTGTTGCGGGGGGGGGGGTTGGGGAGAGATTGTAAGAACCAGCACAGACAGCCCGCCAGCCTCAGCCCCAGCACTTGGGGTGACCAGGTGTGGAGAGAAGAAGCAATGAAGCCTCAGTCATGGGGTCAGGAAAGCTGCAGGAAGAGGGGGTGGGTGGAGGGGTGATGGGCCCACCTGATTGGCATTTCCTTTCTGTGCAGGCAAAGAAGGCAACCTGTGCTAAATATTATTAGTGGTGGTGGTTGTTTCCCTGCTGGGGGTTGAACCCAGGGCCTCTTGCCTGCATGACAAATGCTCTGCACTGAGCTACATCCCCAGCCATGGTATGCTACATGAGGGGCCCTGGGAAAGGAGTCCCAAGGTAGCCTTGACTTGGTCTGGGATTAGTCCCCATTGTCCTCTGACCATCAGGCAACTAACTCTGCTACTTCTCAACCGCTCTGCTAGCACCCGTGGCAGCGAGGGGCCAGAAGGCTTCCCAGGAATTTGTCCTCAAAGCCCCGCAGCCGGGAGAGTCTGCTTGTGGTATGCCCCCAGAGCTGGCCAATCCCTGCCAGCTCTCAGGTGCACGGTCCCTCTTTCTGACTCCCTATGCTCATCTGTTCTTCCAGGCTCCTGGAATATGGAAAGTTTTCTGAACCGCTTCCATCTGAGAGAGCCCGAAGCAAGCACCCAGTTCATGACCCAGAACTCCCAAGACTCACCAATGATCCAGGCTTTCAGGGGAGGCGTCAGGTATTTCAAGGACAAACCCAAGTAGAGATAACTGCCTGCTGGACCAAGGCTTCAACTTCTAGGCATGTGTCCACATTGCCTACCGACAGATGGAATCCCCTCTGGGTATGGGTCCCTTATCTTCAAAATTAAAAAAAAAAAAAAATACAGGGCTTGATGTTTTGTTTCCTAAACCTTCAAAACCAACAAGGGGAACTCAGCCTGGAGTTTGGGGTTTTCCAGAAATTACAAATGGGTGGAGCAGGGGTTGGGTGGACAAGCAGGAAGTGGAGATCCCTAGGCTTGAACTGGTAATGGGTCCCTCAGTCACTGGGCCCTTGAGCAAATCACTCATCCTCCCCAAAACTCTTCCTCCAGCCATGACACTGAGACAGGCAGAAGTAATAGGGGACAATTGGTTGTCACCATGGGCCTCTCTAGTTCTGACATGCAGGAGCATTCCCTCAACCAGTATTACCAGCATCTATCCTGTGCTAGACAGGGGACTGTGTGGGTAATCAGGTCACACAGGACATGGTGCTGCCCTCAGGAAGCTTTCTGTGTGTGGGGGGGGGGGGTCCTCAGATAGCCACTGGAAAATTATAACCAACTGCGATAAATACTGTGAGAGTAGAGAGGAGGCTGATTTCTCTTTCTTCTTTGTTGCCTTCTTTTAAAGGGGGGACTGAACCCAGAAGCACTTTACCACTGAGCTACATTCTCTATCTTTTGCATTTTTTTTTTTGATTTTTTGGGTTTTTTTGGTTTTTTTTATTAATCCATTATTCTTTTGACTTGTGTTTATAGCTTATTTTCCAGTTTTTTTTTTTTTTTTTTTTTTTGACAGAGTCTCGCTAAGTTGCTGAGACCGGCCTCAAACTTGCAATCCTCCTCAGCCTCCTGAGCCCCTGGGATTTCAGGCATGGGTCACTGTGCCCAGCTCAAGGGAGCCTGGTTTCTGATGGGGGTGAAGGACTCAGGCAAGTCCTCTGGGAAGAAGTGCTGTTTAACTTCAGGGCTGGAAAGTGGGGTAGGGCTTAACTTGAGTGGAGACAGAATAGAAGGCATTCCAAATCTCCTCCGAGCTGCTGTGGCCAGCAGGGGCTTATGTGGCCTCTCCTAGGAAGTGAAGGGCCAGTGGTAGAGGTGAAATGAAATATATAAAGAAGAGAAGGGCTGGATGGTGGGACAGGACAGGCCACTCTAGGCCTGTAGCCACATTAAGGCTTTGGACTTAAACCTAGAAGCCATGGGATATCATCGAATGACAGATTGGAGGGGATAGGTGACATAATCAGAGTGTGCTTTTACAAAGCCATGCAGTATGTCCAGGGAAAGGATTTTCACATCTATTTCGCTTGAACTTCCTCTGTGGGCCTATTGGCTTTCCCACCCAGAGGCCCCCTGGAGATGACACTCTGCTTGTCTCCAACCTAAGCCTGGGCGTCCCAATTCCCCACTAGTCCTTCGGCTCTGCCTAACCACCTTCTCGGTTCAGTTTCCCTCCAAGACTTAATAAGCCCCTCTCTCTGGCTAGGATGCAGTAGCCTTGGTGACTCATGTGTGCAAAGTGCTTTGAGATCCCCAGATGAAAGGCGCAGCCTGCAGCTGGACACCAGGTTATTACCTTCTGTAAAGCATGTCCCAAGGTAGAGCAAGGCAGGGACCCCCACTGACCCTCAGCCTAGCTGAGCACACTTTTAACTAATTGGATGGTTTTTGTGGTGGGCTCTGGACAATGCAGTGGGTGGGAGACGAGTTTGTGACTGGGAAGGCAATTGGATAATGTCCTCCTCCCATTGACACATTCATTCAGTCCCTGCCCAGGCAATGCACAGCAAATTCTTGTGCTCAAGAAGGGCACTGGATGACAGCCCAGGGCAAAAGGGACTTTCCCACTCCCTCTGCGCCACCAGGCAAGCCTGCAGGCAGAGATAAAATAAGAAGCCAGAGGAAGTGCCCATTTGCACTGTCATGAAGGCAGACTCAGAAGGGACCTTCGGAGTCTGCTACTCCTAGGGACCTTCTCCTGGCAGCCCCCACCCCACCAGGTGTAGAGTGTAATTGGCAGCTCTGGCGGGTACCCAGGGCCAGAATAAATAGAAGGTCAGTTTGCTAGAACAGCCCCAAATCCAGACACATCCTCCCGTCTTCTGCTTTTAATTCCTTGTGGCTAGCATGTTTATTTTGGGTAAAGGAAAAAAAAAATCGGATGTTTATCCTTCGAGGAAATTATCGGCTTGCTTGCTTTCCTCCCCCCGCTTCTCTTGCCCCGGTGTTTTGGGCTTTGAGTTCAGCTGCCGGAGAGACCCCCACCCTTCTAGTCCCAAAATGTGAAAAAAAAAAAAAAAAAAAAGAAGAAGAAGAAGACAGGTCCAGATTTCAGACTGAAACCAGCCCTGCCAGGCCATCCCTGGAAACCACAGAGGAGGACCCAGGGCAGAGGGGAGACCCAGAGGCCACGAGGGGGCCTTGGGGGATCATCCTTGACTCAGCTTTTTGCCCGCAAAGCTCTTTGGGCCTCTCACCCCTCTTCTTTTCACTACCTCCTCCTGGTGGAAACAAGAGGGACATGTAAATTGCCTTGAGATCTCTAATCAAGAAGCCAAGCAAGACAGAAGTGACCCCTTGACAAGGACAAAGAAAGCTGACATTAACATCATCATCATCGTTGTCAGATACCATTTATTGAGCACTGTCTGCATACCAGGCACTGTGCCACAGGCTTTATTATATGTGGTATCTCGTTTAACGGATTCCCACTCTGATTCACAGCCTGCCAGGGACCTCATACAGGTTCTCTCATTCAGATGTCACCAAAAAACCTAATCCTGTAGATAATGGTGTTCTCATTTCAGAGATGAGGAAACATTCTTTAAGTTAAGGAATCTGTTGCATTTTTAGTAGTGGTGGAATCTGGTATTAACTCAAGCCCTCTCACCACAGTATTCAGAGGTAAACAGCACTCTAATTTTACCATCTGGGCAGTATGAAATAAGGGCCAGGGTTTTCACCTTCAGGATCTGGAGTGGACCAAAGAGGGAAGACTGGTACTTCCAGAGGAATTTAAAGCTTTAGGCATCCTGGACCAAGTAGGATTTGTGGAGAGGGCGAGGGCTTCCGAATACACCAGGCAATAGCCTGGCCCATCCCAGGCCATCTGCCCAAGGCACCACCCCAAAGTTTACCAACCCTCCACCCATTGAGTCACCCAGCTCCCTCTCCCCCTCCATCTGCTCTTAGGTAAGGAAGAGAGATTGAAAAGGACAGAAAGCCACCTAGGAAGTCCATGGTGATGGTGGTGATGGTGGTTGTGGCGGTAATGGTGACTGTGGTGATGACAGTGATGTTGATGGTGGTGATCCTGGTAACGAACGTGGTGAAGCTGGTGGTGGTGATGGTGATGATGGTGATGATAGTGACAGGGTGATACTGGCAGTAGTGACGGTGATGAAAGTAATGGTGACAATGGTGATGCTGCTGATGGTGATGGTGATGGTGACGATGGTGATGCGGGTACTGGTGACAGCGATGGCGGTGGTGTTGGTGATGGTGGTGACCATGGCTCCAGGCGTTATGGCTGAGCATGCATGGGATGAGAAGAAACCCTAGCAGATGCATGAGGTGGTATAGTTGTGGAAGCACAAGAGACCTGCCACTTGACAGCCCAGTGACCTTGGGCAATTTATTTAACCATTCCAAACCTGTGTTTCAAGTACAAAAAAACAATCCAATGCAAAAAAATTGAACCAACTGCCTTCCTCCCAGGAAATGTCCCAATGGTGAGTGACATAGCAGGGAAGACCGGAGCACAGGGCCTGGCAGGCGGGCTGTTAAGTAAGTGCGTGTTTTCCTCTCCTTCCCTGCCTCCACCTCACCTGTTCACCTGCCCAGCTCGGCTGAGCAGTGAGGCTGAGGGTGAAGAACCATGTCTCCCAGGTGAAAGCCTTCCCACAAGACCCCTAGAGCCTTGGCAGTCCCCGGGAAAGGACCGACTGCCAAGGGAGCCTCAGGCCCCAGCCCAGCATCCCCCTCCCAAGCTGAGCAAAACATCGGAGGCTTGGATCAGGAAAGACACCCAGTTCCTTAGCAACTAGCAAGCATTTCCCTGTAAAGACAAAGACCCTTCACTCAGAATGTTCCCTCCCCCCAGCCTCTCCAGGTGTCTGATCTGCCTTGCAGGAGTGTGGCTAGGGATGCCCACCCCCAGGACTTTTAGAAGCCTCTCGTGCCACCCTCCTGGCCATCCTGATAGTACCTGCAATGATCCCAGAACCCTTTAACCCTGGTGCTATTTGCATTTCCCCTCTGCCCAGCTGCTGCTGGGAGACCTGTGAGCTGCATTTATATATGTACACACTGGTACCCATATTTATGCTTCTGAGACTCTTGCTCCATTTCAGAGGCCAGAAAACGAAGGTGAAAGAGAGGAGCAATTCCTAAGTTCCCATATACCTCCTCCTCGGCACTTTAAAGCAGGAGCTAAAGAAGATGGTTCCGAGATAGGCCAGGACAAGGTCCCAGGGTATCTTAGGAGATGAGAAACAGAAAGGTGGAAAGGCTTTTGAAAGACTGGGAAAACCCATAGCAAGACAGTGCTCTCGGAGCAAGTTCACCTTGGAACCACCTGACAAGTCCTTCTGTTTAACACAGAGAGAATATCTTCAAGGAAATGTTTCCAGAGAAAAGGAAAGGAAGAGAAAGAGAAAGAGAAGGAAATAGATACTGGTATGAACCCTGGGGCTGCTGTATGCTAGGCAAGTACTGTACAACTGAGCCACATCCCCAGCCCTAAGAGAAGAAAATAGAGGAGACATTGCTATAAGAACTGCCAGTAGGGAGTCGAGATCTACTTCCAATACCAGCTCCACCATTCACTACTGTGTGAGCCCGGTCTAGTCAGCCACCCTCTCTGGGCCTCAGTTTCCTCAACTATCAAATAGTTTGGGATGGGTGTTCTCAACTGAATGTTCTGCTATTGGAGAGGCAGAGGAAGCCACCATCACTGTCCCCTTGGCTGAGAATGAGCAGAAGCAGCCAGGATAGAGTAGAATGAGCATTTTCAGAAATCAGAATGAAAAAGAGTATTTGGCTGCAGGAGCCAAAAAATCCTAGTGGGAGGCCCAGGCTAAAGATGAGTTTACAGATATGGAGAGCTAAAGAGCCCGGGGTTTCCCA